TATGGATGAGTTGATAGCTTGAGGTAGATGAGAAGGCGCAGAGAAGAGAAAAATTGGGAGAAATGAGTGTGTAGAGGAAGGGTTGTAGAATCATAAAGGTGGCGGAGAGCATGTAGGGAGTTTAAGAGAAGGAAGAAGGATGAAAAGATGAGATAATAGTGAGACTGGGAGAGAGAGGTTAGAAAAAGAAGCAAAGTCAACTGAACTTGAGTCAATGTTTCCGGGAGACTCGAAACAACGTAAACTGTTTTTTCAGCTTTGATTAAGAGGCATTTGAATCCGTTTGCTATGCCACTCTGCTCTTTTAAAGGACCCTCCCTATAAGCCACACGGATATTTGTATGTTTTGTATATACATGTTGGATACCACATCAAATAATCGAAATATTATCGCGAATATGCGCTAATATTTATGACATTTAAAGAACTCAAGGTTTTGCTTAATTCAAATTTCATTTCGTATCAAAGTGCATGATTAGGCGATTCATAGGTTGATCGGATCAGAAGGCAACGGTGGATTCTCGTTGCACTGCAGGCGTTTAGATTGAATAAGACGCTCAGTTTGATGCAGTTCATGATACATCCTTCCTCGTTTTTGGCGAAAAAGGGACTTGATACTTTTACAAGAATGGGTTCAAATTATGCTAATGTCCAACGAATGGTGGACGAAAGCTAGACCCCTTTTCGCCCAAAACAAGGTAGGATGTATCGTGGTCTGCGTTAACCTGAGGGTCGTAATACAGCAAAACGGCTGCAGTACAACGCGACTCAGTCGTCGTCATCTGGTGAGAGCAACCTTCGAATCGCCAAAGCATGCACTTTCATATGAAATAAAAGTCTCTCTACCAATCTTATCTAAGGAAGTGGGTTGACCTCGTTGTCTCAACTTGGTCTTGTTGTCAGGGCGAATTAGGAGAACGCACCTAGTCCGAAGTCGTCTCTCATAGTAGATTCCCAGCATCAGACAGTGGACTTGGTACATTCTCAAACGTTTCGCCGGCATCTTAGTCGGCATCCTCAGTCAGTTTTGTACCAAGCTACAAACTCGTCAAAGAGACAAGTGAAGTCAATCCCTCGACAAACGGTTACACCAAGACCAAGTTGCGACAACGAGGTCAACCCACTTCTATGCATCGAAAGGAGACTGCGACCATACAAGAGGTCACAACTTCTTGATCTTCATAATTTCTTATCTTAGGAAGTTAATCGAAACCAAGTTACTCTTCGTATAATTCTACTATGCCACATGTCTCATACACCTCGACTTCACAGTCCTCTAGAATGGGGTTAGAAAAAGATGTAATCTGAGAAATGTCAGTCTTGTACTTTGGGGAGTATTCAGAATAGAGCCTGCTGTCCCCTCTGCCGGCGAGTCTGCTATTAATGTTCCAGGCCCAAATAAATGCTATGGGAGTTGCTATCAACTGTCAACTCGGAAATGAGCTTTCAATAAATGGCACTACTTCTAACTCAAAAACACCATTCTCTACCAATATATGAGTAAAATAAGTGTATAATAAGAGTTGCATTCACCCTAGATTGCTTAAGAGCATATAGGACTGATAGTTGAATTTGTACCACAATAATGTGAGTATTGAGTAATATTATTGATATTAACACGTCGAAATTATTTACCGTACTACCTGAGTTAGGATCACGCTGATGACACAAAGGCGAGGTCAAAACTGCAGTTAGCCAAGGACGAGAATTCCTTTTGGGCAACAAGGCTTTGCGAACTTGATTGTAATTGAGAAGCCTACTCATAATGTGGGAGAAATCCACTTACCAATACTTCCTCACTTCAAACTAAATATAGTGAATACATCCCATATATATGATCCATTGGTAGTATCGAAAATATACAAACGAACGAAAAATTGTCTTTTCTTGATGTGGCTGTGATCAAGATAATTTTGCTACACACCTTAGTCCACTCTTTCTCTCTTGCAAAAGGACAAAAACTCACAAACTTAACCAGATGTGTGCCTGATATTACACAATTGGAGTGATGGGTAAAGTATAAATCAAAGATGGTGATGTTTTTCATTAAACCTTGATGACCAGAACAGAAGTTAGGTTCTGTTTCGCACGTGTACGAACGAATGAAGTAATATTAACAAACATAACCAGAGAAAGGCACATACTTCGAGATTAGTATATAATTTGAGCTAAACAAACCGATTTACCTCTCGTCGTAAAGCATACATATCTGCTATATATACAATATTTTAGGGATATATGAAAAAAAACAGGGTTTTGAAGAATTCCTCAATGAAATATTATGACATGACTATCCCTTTTGAAGGGAAATTTGGTTGGAAGGAATTCGTGATGTGGTCTCACCGGAAACCGAAGGTGGATTGTGGAATGTGTGAACAAGTCTTCGGCTCACCGTCCTGCAAACCCGATGAAACTGTGCTAAGCTTTCGCCTGTACCGCCGTGGCAGACATCATCACGAATTCCTTCCAACCAAATTTCCCTTCAAAAGGGTTAGTCATGTCATAATATTTCATTGAGGAATTCTTTAAAACCCTGTTTTTTTTCATATATCCCTAAAATATTGTATATATACCAAATATGTATGCTTTACGACGAGAGGTAAATCGGTTTGTTTAGTTCAAATTATATACTAATCTCGAAGTATATGCCTTTGTCTGGTTATGTTTGTTAATATTACTTCATTCGTTCGTACACGTGCGAAACAGAACCACCAAGAGAAGAAGGTTGCCGGCTACAATCATAGTCGCTTTTTATACACCTTATGAGGTCTCCCCTACTGGTTGGCTACTTCAATCTCACTCTACATGCTTGAAAATGAGCGAAGTTAACTTCTCGAGTGGAAATGTGTTCGCTGGCAGCTGTATCATTACAAAAACTAGCGTACAACCGCTCAATACTGAATCATGTTTGGGCTTGTGCGATTGTCTATTGTGTGTATGTAATGCTTATGTCATAGGAAGTATGATAGCTTATGCAAAGAAAAGAGTTAGAAAAAGAAAATAAATTGGCTTTTTTGGGTGGATTATGGAACAAAGACGGTAATAATTTAGGTAGAGACGTATATAGGAAACCCACTCACGCGGGTTTCGAACCATACAGAATAAGTAAAAAGCCTTTAAGTTTTTCATTTGCAAAATCAATATAACCATGGTTTGGTATCACTAGAAATAGTCGATGAATGTAACTTCGCTTGTAAAGGATTGAAAATTTCAAGAAACTTCAATTTTTTAGTTAGTTCACCT